TCAAATCAATTATCACATCTTAGTAAACAAAAAGAGGTATTTGATGTGAGTTACAGAAAAAAACAGAAGAAATATAAATAACTCGACTACTTGACAATCAACCTTAAGGTTAAAAAACTTGAAAACATGTGGGTTGTTTAAATTTTTGGGCAATTTTCGTTCACATCAATGAAATATGTGGTGGATGTGGGCTCACCAGTTATATGACGGTCGGTATTCAATATACTCCTAAACTTCGTAAACTGCTCGTCCTGATAACCGTTACTAGACAACGCCCAACAGTATACAAATCAGAAGACGAATACGAAGCATCGGAGATGATCAATATCGCACCAGACAGATCACAAAACCACGTGCATACGACGCAAAAGTGAAAACAACATGAGCGCGTAAGCCTGTAAGAGAAGCACTGAGTGCGCCGGTGAATAGGATTAAAATATACATAGGAAAATGAATAAGTTTTCAGATTATTTAGGCGGATAACAATAAAGCGAGTAGGATGAGTATGTGTGTAGACAGTAAGCAATACTGAAGCCTAAATGCTCATATAAGCACAATAGTACAGAGAGGTTGTTGCTATACAAATGACTTTCTCTTAAATAAGTCAATCAAAAAGGTTTAACCAAACTGAATGTAAACAAACTCAAATGTATGTGAGTTGCTGTAAATCCTGAATCGATTTTAGCCAAGCCAACTTTGAAAAACTAAGACCATTGGAAAATTGAGGTATCCAATATTTGGGATGAAACAGCTGTCTTTTGATTACAAGCTTTCACTGTTGACGTAACTTGGATTGTATCGGTTTAAGGCGGACTTCAGATAAAAATTCAGCAGTCTTCATAACCATATATTTTCAATTTAATAATCAATGGTGAAAGCCGTTGTAATATTGCTTACCAACTTACAGCAAAAGTTTAGGACTTTGTGGATAAATTATGATATATAAGTCTCATAATTTTAGTGATCATTGTTTGAAGTTAAAATCATATCACAAAAATATATACCAAAAATGCAATTACAAGTTAAGAGCAGCTAAAATTTAAACTATTCCCACCAGATTTGGAGTAATAATTTGATAAAAAGACGATTTGAACAAAATTCAATCTCACTTTGGGAAGGACAGAGCGCTGGATGGCTTGTATTATTCTTGGCACTGGTGGTCTATCAGCTGATCCAAATTATTTTTGAACTTGTTAACAGATATTCAAGTACGTGTTGGGGTAACGAGCTCCATTCGTTGATGATTCGATGGGAAAATCAGTAGGTAAGTGACAAGTAATTTGTTCTGGGCTTGTAAATTTCGTGAGTGTCCTCGGAAATTCTCTATTTTGGAGAACACGAAAAACATGGGCATGTCTGATATTCATTTACCATTACGTAAATTCAAAACTGTGACACACATCACTCGAGTTTACTTTAGTCAGTCTCTCGTCAGACAGAAGCTATGAGATTGCGAGAATCAGATTAGTTGCAGTTTCTTAAACATTTCCCAACAGCTTACTATACAATTTTCAGAAAGGAACTGGCGGCAGGTAGGCGTATACAAAGACAAAAATGACGTAGCAGTGGCATGAGTAAAAGCTATAAACTATCACATACACTTTTTATTGCTCCCTATATATCGCCAGTATATAACTAATCCGGTTATGATAAGAGGCCAAAAAGATCATTAACATACAGGAAGAATAACACTAATCCTAAATTTTTACTCTGAAGCACTCCACTAAGTACCTCTTCCTCGCTAGACAACTTGGACTAAACTTGTATTCATTGTTGAGGTCCGACTAGTAAATAATTTATCAACGTAAATAAGTTGCCTCTGATCTTGATACTACTTAATTTAAATAACAGCCATTTGTAAACGATTTCGTCCAAAGCTTTACCGACGTCAATGAACAGTACATCTATAGGTAGAGCAAACCAACCTGCAACGGCTACTGATAAGTTTTTGAGACATGAATAACCTGTTCTAAAGTCGTGCTGTTCCTCACAAAGAATGCAGTTCTTTCCAAGGTACTTAAACAGCTCTTTCTAAAGTGTCTTTTCTAAATTCTACATACTGAAGTACGATTTGTTTCTCAAACGTTTCGTCAGGCTTCAACTGACATTGTTGTTGACAACGATGCTGAAATCAAAAAATAGAATTGCATAGTTACTCATACCTAGGGGTAGCGTATAATCAGGGTTTTTGATGCCTTCCTAATAATGAGTCAGTATGAGATCCAGTAAAGGCGATTTGGGGTAGTGGTCGTATCAAGTTGATTTCTCAATATGTCGCACTAGGGAACTCTTGATAACCGCAGT